TATAATATTAAATCACATATAGGTACTGCAGAAAATCTCCGGCAAACATCACCAGTCAGAAAAGTTTAATAGGAAAACGTGTCGTGTACTGCTTTTTCCGAAAATTGTTTTTTATATATCCCTACTATGTGTGTGTAAACACTGTAAATACGTAATTCGAGCACTGTTCATATACGTTTTTACAGATGAGATAACAATGTTTTATGTTTACATCACGTATATTATATTATTTATATGTATATAGGTACTATATACTATATATATATAGTGATATTATAATTTATTACAATAATAATATTAAATGTATCATACTACAAAGTTTATATGAATTTATTGGATACAGATTCACTCGCTCTTTAAATACCAGTAAAAAATCAGGCGTAAAAAAATTATAATTACAAAAGCGTGTTCATTCCACTTTTATTATTCAATCATATTTTTTAAACACTCAGATTTTTTATTCCATTTAATAGCGGTACTGGTACAATGTTACTGGGTAAAAAATCAAAAAATCTAACTATTTGAAAATATAGTCCTAAGTATAATATAATATATACTTATAAATCATGAAAATCAAAATCCAAATAATTTTTTTAGTACTTGAAGATAAATTGGGGYTGATCATGATTGATTAATCACTCTGTACACACAATAACTGTACTATATATAGGTACACATGCACACTCACTCTTACTAGTCACACACACTACTCATATATTATAATATAGATGTAAGTATAATTCGGCGCTTTCCACTACGGGTGGTTTTACGACAATATTGTATATCATATTATTTGAAATTGTTGTCTCGGAGCCTCGGCGGCTATATGTTTGATATATAATATAATTTTATATTGTGTCACGTAACATATTTTGATGCGCTACCGGGAAACGGCCATAAATCCRAAGGAAGTAAAATAAAAATAAATAATACTCGAGAAAACAGATATTTGATTGCCGTCGTAGTGTTCACCTTATGGAGGAAAAGGTTGGAGGCGGGGGTCGATTTAAAAACGTCCTGCTGTCATACGCATAGCATGATGACAACGGCAGCAGTGGTTTCGGGTATACTACTCGGAAAAAGGAAATTGCCATCGTTCGTATATAATATAAGCTCGTATATAGTCGTCGCCGTATATAATATACTGTATCGTCTATAGCTTTTTTCGCCGCGACCCAAAACGACWCGTATTTATCATCGTCATTGTTGCCGTCACAACGAATAATTCTCCGGACTTTTACTGGATGGGGTTGGAAGACGCAAAAGGGGTAATCAACCGTTATAAATAAAATAAAAAGAAATTGCCCTTACCGCGTTTGCATAGAAAGTAGTTATTCTTTTTGACAAATGTCAAATGATTCATATTTATCCCTGCATAAATAAGAAAAACAAAGTGTCCAATCGATCTTCAAGGAGCTTAACCTTAGTTTTTTTTTTTTTTTAATTGTGTTGCTCTCTCTCTCTTATAGTAAAAAATTCCACATTTTCGTTTAATTTATAAAACATTTTTCTCTAGTTGGTCATTAAGTCTCAAATAGCGATTGAAAGATTTCTAGTCTGCTGCACTCCTTMATCTTCATATACGCAATTATAGTATACATAACTATCAAACAGTAATATTCGTTAATCGTATTTTTATTGCGAACTCCGGTTGGCTTTATTGTAAACGTACACCCCCAAAAGACCATTATTAGGCATAAAGCGTTATGTATTACGATTTACTTATCTGTGTATAGTTAAACCGGAAGATGGTTCTAATTGAGAATAATAAATATTTTTATGAACGTTGTAAAATAATTTAATGAAACGTTCAAACATATTACAGCGCGTATATATAGATGGTATGTATATATACTACATAATATATACAATATAATTTATGCTGCAGCAATCGTAGAAAACAATATTCGCGATATGTATATAAGCGCAATAAGCACGTTAAATAAAGTAATTATAATTAACATAGAATTCGCTTTACAAGCAATTGGCGTAGTTAATTATGCAAGGGATAATAAATTTAAATCTCTATAATTACACTATGTATGAATACGGCGCTAGATAAAGTTTCTCAAGTCGAAAACTATTAATTTATTAGAGAAAAACGTCTGTGTGATATAATTATTACAATTAAACCGAAAAACAAATGATGATAATTTACTGTATTTTTTTTCTTGATTGCTGCGGTAGACAATATAATATATAATTACACTTAAATAATGTTTAACCTTGAGTCGTTATTTAATTTCTGTTTTTTTTTTGTTTATCGCCCATGCAAAATTGATTTCCTTGCGATTATTTGCATATAATAATATTGCATAAACCCGACCAAAGTTTAGTTACGTACGGCAACGTTTAGAAATAATGTTTAATTCCCCGCAGTAATTATAATCGGTGCGGTGTCGGCGTATATGTATTATAGGTACAATGCAATCAGGAGGTCTGTCATGGAAACATGAATTATGGGTCAGAAAAATGATAATTCAATAAATTAACAGTAACAATAATAGTCTGTAGTTTAAYGACGACTTTAAAACCCAAAGAATCTTCAAACTATGATGCGGTCTGCAGGCCACATCCAATCGGCGGAAAAGTTTTAGCGAATAATTCAAAAATGATCTAATTAAATTACTATTATTTTGATTACACTTCTCTGTTCAATATACATAACTACAATAAATGAAAATAATATAAAATACACTAGTACCTTAAATATAAAAGTATTTATATTTCTCTATTATCTATTCTATGTATTATAAACAACAACGACAATCATTAAAAACTTACACTAATTTATTGTATTTATTGTATTTATAATGTTATATTTCTTGAATTTCAACCACTGAAAATTCTAAATGCGTTGACAAATATTTTAGCCCGTATAGTTTTTAATTTTTATATAGTTTTTGAGTAAAAAAGGTTGGAGATTCCTGATGCAGCTTAATCTATAGGCAGTGTAGGTATACGTAAACACCGGTTTAATATAATACGATTTGCGCGAATAACGTAAATAATAAATATGGTATATAATATAACTTTCATCTATGATATAATATAATATTATAGGGTGGGACTCACCCTTACTTTTACACACAYATATATATAGTTGCAGATTGGAAAGGCTGACCCCTTTTGGCGATGTGTTTCTCTCACTCACTATCGATGTGGGTAGTGCCGAGCTACCACCTTCCGACTATATAATATAAATGTGTATTATAGCAGCGCAAATATTATTTTTCAATCGTTTTATAAATCGGCCATCTTTCGACGGGTGCTTTTGGGCGTGAGCGTGCTAGTGTGTATGTGTTTGTATATTTTTAGCCCTTCCGTAAATCGTATGGCGTGTGACGCTGCAGTATGATGTACCTACTATATTATATTATTTTTATTTTCCTCAGCGATATTTTACTCGGAAATGAAATCGCCCGAGATCCATTTTTCGTCACGTACTGTTTGCGCGCGTATTGCAGATTATCCGGCAATCATCCACTGAGTAAACAGCCCCCAGCCCCCTTATGTTTATTTCACCCCCACATTCGACCGACCTATCCACATCAATTCGTCGAACTCGCATATTATATCATCACGGCCGTGTATTCGAATATAATAATATATCCCCCAAGTACGATATTATATTTATATGAATATAGATAATCGTATATTGATATTATTACATGCATATGTTTGTATATAGAGGTATTTGTCGTAGGTATACCTATGTATAAACCGATTTTTTGTCTCGGGCTTTGAAACAATAACAAACAGTAGCTAGAGTCGTCACCACAGCCGCTTTTTTCGTTTTATTTAATTAATTTTTTTTTTTWAAACCTTTTATAATATATACATATACCAGTTATATTATATTAAGCACGTATCTTTTTTAGGCTCTAGTCCCTGTTGTGGCTGCAGGAACGTTGATGTATAATATTATTTTAAACGTATATTGTATATTATACTGCAGTGGCATACACAGATATTTATAAAATATTATATTTTAGTGAAATCAGGAGTTATATTAAAAAATTATATGTTTTTATAATTTATATTATGTATTAACGTCAAAATATTTTACTTAAATATACTGTAATCGTATAGACGTATAGTGTAGGTATTATGCAATATTATATCAATCTATACATTCTTCATATATTATACATAATGTGCACTAAGCAGTAATACATAATATTATATACAAGACGAATTTTCTATCACTCGAAGTCGACCATCCATAATCATATTATGCATTGATTTCCTACGGGCTTCAAGTCTGTGTGAACTCGATTTATACTAGAGTGGTATTTACGTATTATTTATACCTATTACATGAACTAGGTAAGAAGTTTTAAATTGTACATTTATTATAGTCTATAGATATACGATGTTTATCTAATATTATGCGTACGTACCTATGTATTTTAATCACGGTACAATAATCGTTTAGTATTACTGCAATTGAGCATTAAACATATTATACTATAATATTATTATACAACGCGTGACTCGTCTTTATGCGAAATATATAATATAATACCCATAAGTATATAATACAATAATAATTTATCATTACTCGTGTATTGAATATACCTAACCTAACTACAGTCTGCGAACGTCATAGAATTAACAGTAATAGCAATAAATTACATTAAAAATAATACGTTCAAATTGTCTGAGAATATACCGGGCTATAAGAGCTCACTTTAGCTGTGTTGTATGTTCAAACGCGTGTAAAAAAGGAAACTTTCCTAAATATTGTATTATTGGTTATTGAGTTATTCATAATTGTACATAACACTGTCTTACTGATTATTGTATGTATAATAATTAGTCTTAATGATTTAAGTATCTAAATAAATATTTAGATTTAAGTTAAATTTTTAGTTAAAAAAAAAAGGTTACGAGAACTACTGTTATAATAGTTTATACAACGTTGTACTAATGTATACTATACCTGCTGTGCAGTGCTATTATATGTTATRTAATAACCACGTCATTTCTGTTCTCAGGTCAAAGTTTGGTTCCAAAACAGGCGCACAAAACACAAGAGGATGCAACAGGAAGAAGAGGCCAAAGTGCAGCAACAACAATCTGGCGGCGGTGGTGGCTCGAAGAATTCGCATCACGTCAACAAGTGGAAGCAGGAGACCCAGAACAGCGGATCGGACAGCGAAATGCACCACTACGGCGAGGGTTCACCGCAATCGGCGCAGCACAGGGACGACGGGACAATGCACTACGACGGATACAGCTCCGAAGCGGACAGTGACGTATGAATGATGTGCGAATTCGTGAATGATGTACCGACAGAGGTATCATCACTGGACCAAGCGATACCTCAGCCGCATAGTGTCACGTGTCCAATGCGATCGCCATCTGCGCAGCCCATTGRTGTTGGTTATATAAAACATAACCGGATGTATAATGTACATACATAAGTGTATTATAATTTTGTTCAATTATTATTGTCCATCTTGTACGCACAAAAATGGAAACTGTCCATTTTTCTAGTCATTTTGTGTACGTCGTTGTTTTTAATCCTCTCTTGTGGTACATATAAATACATAATGTATTATATTTTATATTAAATGGAACGCTGTAAATAATCGAAGGTTAAATATGTAAAATGTCAGCGTGTAAATAACATATTTGTAGTGAGTATATATATATTCATAATATATAAATACAAATAACTCGCAGTTTTTAATTATTATTATTATTATTATTATTATTGTATAATGTACAAAAGACTAATAAAATGATATTTTCATTTGTAGGCTAATTAGAATAAATATTATATATTATTACATAACATGTATTATTATTATTATTAAAACTATTATTGTCGTCAGGATAAAGCAAATTAATGTTAATGTATAAAATGCTTGTGTACAAAAAAAAAAATGGCCGTTGTACAATCGTCTTCTCACGCCGATGTGCATATAAGACAGAAAATGCGTTCAATAATTGTTAACTTTAATACATATTATGTGTTATAACTGAATAAAATGCATCATTGTTTAATGTTTTATTCGAATAATAATGATAAAAATTTTWAAAAAAAATCATAATAATAATTTCCTTAATTTAAAATGCAATGTGTTTTTATTTTTCAAAGGTTTTTCCATAGCAGTAGTGGTGCGATTATTTTAAGACGAACACATCGGATACCTCCAAAGTATTATTTAGTGGGATACTAAAGTATGCAACTTAAGCTCTTTAATGTTTTTTCACATATATCTTATATACTCGTCGAGTAAATAAGTGTGTTGTAATTATTATTGCAAAGTCCGTAACACGATCTGGCGCTTTTGGCGTGGACACGCCACTACGTGTATTTACGGGGTCGTCGTTGATGAATTGCAATATAGCCAATATTGAATTGTGTGAATTTTTAAATAATAATTATACATTCGATTTTTCCGATCCCACCACTTCCGGACACAATAACAGCGRCGTGACTAGGTCGATTCTTTCGCTTTGCCGGATCACGTGAGTGGTGGGACAAGGAATCGAGGTGACTGATGGACGTATACGGTATATTAGTGTGGCGGCAAAGGTCTAATACTGCGCCGTTTTATGCCGTCGAAAAAAACATAAACTCATTCAATGTCCGTAAAAATACGTCTACGCCCACACACACTCCATCGTACGGATTGTGGAGAGGTGATCGACTTATGTTTCTATTTGCATTCCTAAATTTTTAATTATATAAGTTATATAATAGGTATAAGTTGAGAATGACACACGTTTGTGTGTAGGTACTAAGTATACTTATCGCACATCGATCACAATAATTTTTTGGCCTGCAACATTTATAAAAGTTTAAACATTCAGTGTTATAGTGTCATAGTTACTTGTTATGGTTGTTATTATCATCCTAAAAACTGGCCCCACCATTTTAGGGGCCCCGCACATTTTATGATTTGTAATTCTGTCAGCCTATAATATTGTTTTCCAAATTTCGGCCGTCTGCAGATTTAACGCTTTCCCGGTTCACTGAACTTCTATCATCGTTTTATTTCCAACGCAGCCGAACTACAAGCCAAATACATGGCGGTCACCGCTCCACCTTTTGTCTCATCGAATCACAGTATTGCTGGCTGGACATGGACCGAGAAATCACGTGATGGACCTGTGAACAGTCACAACGCGCCAAAGTACACAAACACACGACGTCCAGAACCACACCGCGGAGCGACGCTTTGCGGTCACATTCACCTCGACTTGCCGGTTGGGCCGCTACCACTGTCCAGCGGATCTACTGACCGTCGTCGACCGATTCACGCGCTGCACAGTCGTGACCGATCGAGCATAATATGTCGGCCTAAGCAGTACCCGCGCAGTTTTCAACAACGAACTGGATGACTGGATAGCACGGTTCGGCGTGCCCGACTACGTCATCATCATCATCGACCAAAGCTGGCATTTCGAGTAGGATCTATTCAAATCACTTTTAATCACCTTCGGCACTCGTCACATTCGAACATCGMCGTAGCACCCTCAGTCGAACCGGACGGTAGAACGTTTTCACCGCACGCTCAATTCTGCGCACACGAATCGCCGCAGTTGCCTAAATCGTCCTACTCGCGCTGCGCAACACAGTCAAAGCGGGCATCGAACAAGCTCCGGCCGAGTTGGTATACGATACCACGCTCAGACTAGCAGGCGAGTACTTTCACCCCGCTCAACCCGAGCTGCGTTGCAAGACCGCTGCTCCGATACACCACAGTGACGAACCGCACGATACTCAACGCACTACGTTCGTGACCACCGATCTGAGCCGGCCGGTCAGTAATGTTTTTTCCCGGATCGACRCGGACAGAGCACCGCTCCAGCCTCGTTATGAGGGCCTACTGGTCGTACTCGAACGCCGCGGGAGAAGACGTTCGAGGTACAACGCGACCTATCCGCGCGCGGCGTGAAATTCCATCGATTGACTCAAACCAGCATTCGCCGCACGGTATAGGATCCACTGGCCGATCACAAGTACGCAGTCCAAATCGAATCAAATATAGTCCTGYTCTTCTTTAAGGGCGCGCGATATCACCGCACTTACCACACACCTATACATCAACCGTGAATTTCGCCCCGTCCGTTTTATTGTTGTACTCGTTAATGCTTTACAGTGGCCTAGTATTCGTTACAGACCGACGCACCTGTTCTCGCTAACATTCGTGAATTTTATTCATGTTCTTTGCGCAACAATCGACCGATTTCGCGTTCGCCGTGACGTTTTCGACTGTTATTGCGCGATGAACGGCGCACGGCTCTTTCTCTTTTGCCACCGACCTCGCCCGAGCAAGTAATATTCACGTCGTTCGCCGTTGCCTTTTCGTAAATTGACAGGGTACAACACGAYTGGGGACGTTTATGACAAAAGATATTATTTTGCACTCAAAAAATGACACGACTCCGGACGTGAGAATCAACTATAYAMMRYGKKKTWWRAKATATATAWATAATATCTACGTAATTACGTAAAGTATATAATATTAATAATAATAATAACAATACAAATGATGATAATTGGTGATTGATGTATAATGACACTGTCATCGTAATTCTATAAAGCTTACAATATTATGATTAAAAAAAAAAAGTTAAAAATCAAAAATTAAAGTGTCTTACCTATGTGTTGTATAAATTAAAATACCATAAGCGCTTACTGTTCATAATASTCCAGAATATTAATACAATTACAAAATTAGGTACGTAAAAAAGTTTAAAAATCAAAAATATAGCAACATTTATATATTTTTTCCTCTGTACATGATGACAACTAATTATTTATAAATGTTGCATAATACGTTTTGGTTATTTTTATAATCATTATAGCTCTGAATTGTTAATTTAATTAAAATAATTTTAATACGCTAAGAATTCTCACATTGCCACATTATCGAAGTATTCTTTATAAATTTGGCGGCATGTGTCAGCAATCGTGCAGTAATTTTCGGGAGCCCATCATAGTTAAACTATAATCGTTCGTAATCGTATTATTAAAAAGGTCGTCCTGATAAGATAAGTACTTCCGCAGTCGTGTATCACCGCATTGACTTTGTATTCGAAATTGTTTTCAACTAACTCGTTTAAGTTTTTACTCTCGAAACATCCGATCGTCCGTGCAACTTTTGTTAATCCGCTCACGCACACCTCACCTTTGGCGTTCTGCACAATATCGAATGTGTTATCGAAATATGTAATTCGTGTTATAAAAATTGTTTTTATCGACACACACGTACATTAGCGTTGCTTTATTTTTTTGTAGGTTTCCCGCGTGCTATATATTCTCCTTCTGATCGGAGTCAAAACCGCGATAAGTTGCATAAGTGTAGTCGTGCAACAGTATTTGAATTGACTTTAGTAGTCAGGTACACTTCTTACTAAAGAATTTTTGGTACAATGAATTTCAGTCGTCATCTCATATCATTGAAAGTAATTTACTATCGTTAATCACGTCAATACACAATCTTCTATTTCACTAGGGAATTAAATACGATACATCACCTCGAAACCCGACCAAGATATATAACCGTATAGGTATATGTGTACAGCTAGTTGTAGTAATTCCGTTGTAGTGACTATTTATCTATTGGTAAATTACTACGTTTATATGATGGCGTTAAAACGGTTTGAATTAAATCGGTTTTAAATTCTTAAACAACATAGTGCCAGCGTTTTAACGCCATCATATACCTAATAACGTAGTAAATTTTGGCTTTTTAAGCCATGTAAAAATCTCTGCTTCACGTAAGCTTATTTTAAAAATAAAAATATAAGTAGATTGTTTATTGTTAAATAGATGTAAAAGTGTAAAATATATACTTATAATCTATATAATAATATTTTATTCGTAAAAATCATACCAATATTTAGTTGTAGTTGTAATACGTTATTGTTCAAAGTTAGATATTCGACGATGATCACCAACTTCGTTTTATAATGATTTTTTCGTTTTTTCATAATATGTATACCATCGTGCAGAATTTTTAGCAAGTCAAACAAGATTGTCTTTTATCATAATACCAACAATAGAATGCCGAAATCACCAAAGATTTTTAAATATACCTATAATTGAATAAGTATTCATCGCCGAGATAAATATAAAATACTTATGTCACCGTCGTTATGCAGTGTATGCTAAATTATTAGCAGCTAATTTATCTATACCTCATATTATGCTGGTCATTCTTCAGTCTGGACAAGTGTTATACTTAATACCAGAAATAATTTGAAAAATATAGGCTAAAATAGCTAAAATAGCACTAAAGAGTCATTATAGCCACGTGCAGCGTGAAGAATATTACGAATAACATTCAAAATTATTATTTTTTTCAAACTTGATTGGATTTATATCAAAATATGATTTAATTTCCCATTAGAAACTGCGTCAAAGTATAATCACAAAATTGGAATATGAATACTCATATGATGTGATATTATATGAAAGGAAAATAATTTAAAATTAATTTCGTTTTAGTATACAGTATTATAATAACCTGCAGTAGTAGCAAATACATACCTTTTTTATAAGGAGGATTAACAGAAAAAACCAATTAAATATTTCTATCTTAAAACACATTTATACAAACATATAGTTGTTTAAAGTATTTTTTTATATACGCTTATTTTTTAGAGCATATTTATTTGAATACAAGTACCCCAAATTTAAAGTCTTATGTT